ATCTTTTTTGACATCATTCATGATGTTAGAAAAACACGTAGGTTCAAGAAGCCTTGATAGAAATGAATAAAAACCCTATAACCCGAGTGCTTTCAAAAGGTGAACCTTTCTTCTTCAGGGACAAACTGGGAATGGTCCCTGAAGAAGAAAGGTCCACCTTTCGAAAGTGCTCGGTTTATAGGGTTTTTATTCATTTCTATCAAGGCTTCTTGAACCTACGTGTTTTTCTAACATCATGAATGATGTCAAAAAAGATGGCTCAGCAGTTTCTAGAAAGAGAGGTACAGGAAACCGTTAGAAGGGCCCGGCATGGCCAGGTAGTTAGGGCACTCAACTCACAATATGAGGGTTGCGAAATCAAATCCCCATCCCACCAAACATGTTCGACCTTTCAGCCTTGGGGGCATTATAATGTGATGGTCAATCCCACTACTCATTGGTAAAAGAGTAGCCCAAGAGTTGGCGATGGGTGGTGATGACTAGTTGCCTTCCCTCTAGCCTTACACTGTTAAATTAGGGACGGCTGATGCAGATAGCCCTCGTGTAGCTTTGCACTAAATTCAGAAAACAAACAAAACCATTAGAAGTTTTAAAAATAGAAAAGTTTGTGGCATAGATGAAACTCCAATAGGATTTTAAAAGAAAATTGACATTTTTTGGGGGGGTTAAACGTCTAAGTGTCATTTGCGACTCAATCTATAGAGGAAGGACAGTGCCAACAGATTTTTAAAAGTCTTTTTTTTTTTTTTACTGACCCTCAAGAAATCTAGGCTATGAAGTATGGCTAATACAAGACTATCAGCTTGACCTGTCACACCCTAAAAGTAATTCTCAGTAGAACTAAACATAAGGTTGAGAATGAGCTATCAGGATATCAAAATGGTTTTAGTTTTAGAAGAGATTTTGGCAAACGAGAGCATATTCATCCTTAGAATGTTAGGTGAAAGAACCATAAAAATGCAAAAAAATATTTATTTATGGCTGATAGATTTTGAAAAAAGGTTTTAACAATGGAAATTCGACATCAAGTTGTGGTAGAGCAAGCAGCTATTAGAATTCTAACTTATTTACAAACAGAAGTTCAGATTGATGGAGAACTAAGCATTTGGTATGTGGTTAAGAGAGGCATATAATGGATGTGCGCTGTCAGCTACATTGCATGATGTATATGTGGAACGGTTGGGGAGAGAGCTAATTACTTATAGAGAAGAGATTGAGGTTGATAGATATAGAATCTATAATACAGCACTTACGGGCGAATCTGAGAAAGAGATATAACTATTATTGAACAGTTTGTTGATATAGGGAAAGACTTTGGCCTCAGATTAAATGTGAACAAAACTAAGACGGCAGTAATTTTACGATCTAAGGAAGCTCCCAGAATATGCGTCAAAGAAGAAGTTAAAGTTAGAACCAGTAGAAGATTATTTATTTGTGGAAGAATAGCAGTAGTGATGACTCTTGCAGAAGAAAAATAAATGAAACGATAGGAATGGCAAGAACAGTTTTCTTAAATCTCAATTAATTGCTCGGGAGAAATGTCAGTCAAATTAAAACTAAAGAAGAGTGTTAAATTTTACTGGTGGTTAAACCTACTTTAATGTAGGAGATGGAAGATTCGCTAACTTGGGCATATAATTAGATCTAAGGGAATGTTAATAGAGATGATGATGAGTAAAATCGCAGGAAGAAGAGCTCGATGACATTGAAAAATGGATTGAAGATGAAAAGCTCGAATTAAAAAAGTTGATACACACAACGAAAAGTAAAGAGTAATCGAGAACCACGATCGTCGAATTATTGTTTTACTGAAGTCAAAAAGTCGTCCTTATATATCTGAAGAAAATATGATTGGATTGTTAAAACTTAGTGATTGAATAAGCGTAGTTGTTTGGATAATCAGCTGAGATTGGATCATGACAAGATAAACAGTAATACCAAAAGTGGACATATTTCTTTTACAAGCAAATTTAGTATCTTAAATTTTGAGCACTAAGCTATAGAGTGGAGGATGCTTCAATGTCATCAAGGTTCTCTTTCTGAACTCTCAGGAAGGTTTTTGGTTTTTAAATCGATAAATAAGAGCTGTGATTAAAATTTCTTTGGGTGTGTGTGTAAGGAGGAGGTAGTGTTTATCTGTCATCTTTGTAATAACGTTTAACTACAATAGTACTTCCTGAAAGAAAAGAAAAAACTTATTTGAATTATACTTAACGTTTCACCGTTTTAACTAACTAGTCGCCTGTTTCGCGCCGCAGTTTTAGACAATCAAGAGATCAGCGTGTTCTCCTTTACAAGCATCAAATCCTCGTAGAGAACGATTTTAATGGTAATGCTCCAAAACTGAGATAAAAAAAGCCAAATCCTGGTTTAAATTGGTTAAACCGATTATTATTTTTAAAAAGATGGAAATAATTGGAAAAATGAAATGAAAGCATCCGTAGTGTAGCATAAAGAAAATGAAAATCAATACGTCTTTACAAAAAGGCAACAAATGAAAAATAAACTACAGTATTGCTAGACTTTTCTAACATGTACTGATATTTTGTGTGTTTACTGTTAAAAATTGCAGTAATCTTGGGGTATTCTTGTACAGAAGGATATAAAAGGTTCAAGAACTAGTGAATTCAGTCTACTTCTGCATGCTGTAACTTGTGATAGTTTCTCAGTTTGTAACTTTCCGACTTTTACAGTTTTATGCTTAATTTTTTCGAAAGGGGGCTAAAGGCCGCCCGAAGGGCCACCTGTTTAAATCCTCGCACCATTATACAGTTGTGTGTTGTCTGTCAGTCAGTAGACATTAACATGGTGTTACATAAGAGGCACCTAAGGTTGCAATTTGTACTGCCGTGACGCCAGTAAGACGTGCGCAAACCATGAATCACTAGAAAAATTATGTACTCTGTAGGCTATAGCACAGCATGAAATGTGAACTTCAAAAACAAGAAATAAAAATATTTGTTGATTTTAATTTTGGTTTTATTTACTCTTGAATCAACGCTTTCTGAGACCCCTGCGGAAGTACATCTAGTATCAGGTAGTATAGAAATAAATGTACAATGTGAATTTAGCATTCTTCTTCACTTAAGTATATTTTTATTTTGTATCTGGTACGTCTCGCGTTGGAACTTAAGTTTAGACATTCAGAGCACACTTTCCTTAAAATATTGTATCTTTGGAAATATAAGTTCATTGAATGCTTTGTTCTCTTCAAAATTTCCATTCAGTTTAAAAAATAAACGGTTACATATTTTTCTAATCTGGTTGAAATACGGGAACTAATAGGATTTATTAGTTACATTTGTCTATCACATATACTATTCTTAAGCTGTATTATTTTCAGGCGCATGCACATCAGGTACGTAAAACAATCAGTTTGGATATAGGGTAATGCAAAAGTCGCCTACTAGCATGGTTTCTCTAGTTGTCTGTAATATATACCGCTGATACTACGTAAATTCAATGGAGCTGGAAATCAATTGTACAGTGAATTTAGTAAAATAAAAGTAAAGAAAAATGTTTTTAAAAAAAGGAAGTAAATGCAGGATGTCCAATATCAATCCTTCAAAAACAATGCAAACGAGATAGTAGGGGATGGTATTTGCATCATCCACACATAATAGCACAGGTACACAGCGCAGTAGAATGTAAACAGACAAAAATAGGATATATTAAACTAAATTATATATGTATTGCTATATGTTAATTCTTACCTGTGCTATTATGTAGGGATGATGGAAATACCATCCCTACTACCTTGTTTGCATTTTTTAGAAGGATTGATATTAGCCATCTCTACATTTACTTTCTTTTTTTGAAAAGTTTTTTCTTTACTTGTTTGCTTATCTTTTAATGGAGTGTTTCAATAGACATAAGAAAGTTGTATTTATAACGAAGTTCTAAATACAAAGAAGTTCCAACTATAATATTTATTGTTTATCTATTATTGGCTGGTAATTCCTGATTAACCCTCCACTTAAGCTTTTTAAGGAATTACCAAATTTCTGTAATAAAGATAATTTCAAGGGTAATGATATCGTTTTCACCAAAATTATGATTTTTCAAAAAATATTACTAGTTATTGATAATGCTTATAAAATTGAATACTCAGTTTAAAATTATATCATCTCAATGAAATTGGTTGACATCATTGTATTGGTTTTTAAGTTATGTATAGTAATAAGAAGGCGTGTCTGTGTATGTGTGACCGCCATAACTCCAAGAGGAAAGAACCTAAAAACCTGAAATTTTGCACACATACTAAGTGGACCCTGAGGGTGTGCACCTGGGTATTACCTATCTAGTGTGTGCGCATCTATTTAAGGAGGCAAGCTGGTGAAAAGCCACATAGAAAAAATGTGACTGCCATATATAGAAAAGCCAATGCGTTTTGGTAACAATGCGCTTCAACAATGGCTTTTGTATCATGTTTCTCAGCAAAAAAAGTATAACCTAATATTGTTGTTAAGAGGCTATGTGCTGAAAGTATAAAATGAAATGTATAAACTAGAAAATTAAAAAAAAATTTTGCTTTCTAATTTAGAGACTCCGTTAACTGAAGAGGTTTTTTTTATTATTTGTTTTTATTATTTAAGTTTAAAATCAGAGGACAAGTCGGAGGGAAAGGTACCTTTATAAACAGGCCACATCCCGTAAAGGAGCAACAAAAGTATGTAGGTTATACTTTTATGCTAAAATGGCTTCAGAATAAGAAGCAGAAGAAAGAAGAACAAGAAATTCAAACATTTTGCTATGATATTTATAGACATTTCCAGAACTTGTGACTCAGTCATTACATAGGTATTGTTATAAAAAGAAAAACTGTGTAGTATTGTAAAGTTCTGGTGACTTATTGAGGAAATATTTAAAATACCATTTCGATGGATAATCCGAGCCATCCTTATATAGGTAGTGCTACAGCCTGCCTGATAGATGTATCTAATGTTATAAAAATGCACATGATGTAATGCTTCACTAAACTAAGTTTACTTCTGGCTCATATTTTGTTACATTGATTGAGAAAAGTTACAACGTGGAAGAGTATATCCGATGAAATGTGGATTTATTTCACAAGTTCTTGATATGGTGCCACGATTTATTCTATCGTAGTTTTCATTTACATTAGATGTTGACCGCTGGCGTTTACTATTGAATCTTGTCACGACCTTATCCTTTGCAGGCAGACTATTCATTCAGATGCATACACAGTAGTCTGAATAGTAATATAAAAGTTTTTAGACCTGGCATGGCCTGATGGTTAGGGTGCTCGACTCGCAATCTGTGGGTCGCGGATTCGAATCTCACTATTCGTTGGTAAAAAAAGCAGCCTTTCCTCTAGGGTCTAGTATATCACTGCTAAATTAGGTACGGCTAGCGCAGGTAGCCCTCGAATAACCTTGCGCAAAATTGAAAACAATCAAACAAACCGATCTGATTTATGACACGTGCCTGTTGTCGCTTTCGTTACACATTTTTCTTTTTTGTGATTCATTTATTTTAAAAAATGAATTTAAGGTGGACCAAAGTTTCTTTCAAGAACAGATTATGAAAGGTAATAGTCGACCGTGTGCATCTTCTCTGGTTTTTCATTTTGTCAGAATAAAACGAAATGTTAGATCCTAATTTAGCAGGACTTCAACTGTTTTATGTGCAGTGGTATCGATCCACTGAATAAAACGAAATGTTAGATCCTAATTTAGCAGGACTTCAACTGTTTTATGTGCAGTGGTATCGATTCACTGAATAAAACGAAATGTTAGATCCTAATTTAGCAGGACTTCAACTGTTTTATGTGCAGTGGTATCGGTCCACTGAAGAGCATAAACAATTTTATGGTTAATTTTCGGAGTGTGTTAGTTTGTTCAAATGTTACTAACAATCGTGGATATGGGAACAATCATCTGTAATACAAGAATGATTCATATTTATTGAGACGTTGAGATAGATATCACGAAGATTTATAAAAGCAAGTATTCCGCTATTTTGTACATAAAAATTGAAAGTACTTTTTAGTATATGTTAATTCTTTTGTCTTGAATTTTTTAAACACATGTAAACAATACATAAAACCACGAAGAAATAAAAAATTTCAATTTGCTTCAACTAGTAAATATGGAGATTCTACTATAACTTGTAGTATGAATACATGTAAGGAATATGTGTGTGTGTGTGAATAAAGTTATCAACTTACGATCAGCTACCTTCTTCGATCAAAACTAAGAATCAACCCGGTAATTAACTAAATATACTTTTTGTCTTATTATATTCTTACTTAAAAATATTACAACTGTTTCTTCAGTTGGATACCCTCACTATTAATGACATTTTCGACCGTAAACCAAATGTATTACAAGGTTCGGCCAGTTTTGTAGATTTACGTTAGTCGTAAGTCATGATATTAAAGTAACAAATCAATACATAATGGGAAACGGGAGCATATGGTGCCATTGCACCTTAGATTTTTAAAAGTAGTGGGTTAATGCAATTCAAATATCAGCTGATACACTCAGAAGCCCCTCCAGGCGGCACAGCGGCATGTCTGTGTACTTACATCACTAGAAACCGGGTTTCGATATCCGTGGTGGGCAGAGCACAGATAGCTCATTGTGTAGCTTTGTGCTTAACTACAGACAAAAATACACTCAGAAAATTAGGTTTATTATTTGAATAAGGACAGATATGACCATTTAAAAACATATATGTATTTATTATCTAGTTAGATTAGAAATGTGTATGTGGCCTTACGTATATCATTTTTTGGGGTGGTGGTGGAGAATGAGGTGTTTAGGAAACGATGAATCGGTGCTATAGGAAACAAAAGATGAATTTTTTATTTATATTTTCTTACAATGTTGAACATTCGTAGAATACATTCTAATCTGAAGGGAAAATTCTCACTGTTACTGGTCAAAAACAAGACAATAGTAACTGCATTTTTATTACAAAATAAATGTAACTACTTTTTCAATAATGGCTTTAAACTGACTTCGTCAAGCTTCATTAGCAGGGCTAATTTTGCTCATCAAACACAATTTATTTGGAAAAACTGATTTTTCAATTCACTTTTCAATACACTGTGTATAAAAATATTTTCCACAAGCGTTTGTTTGATATAGAATTTATTTATTTATTTATTTTTTCATACATTGGTTTCTTGGAAGCGTTTCTGTAATATCACAAATGCTCCTTAGCCTTGAACCGTTTATTTGCAGTGCCTTTTTAGGAGACAGTACACATGTGTATTTTGTGTGAAGAGCCACAGTTAAAACGAGAACTGAGGAACAGTCGTTTCCGGGAAATCCCAAAAATTGTATTGATGGATGGAAACAGAATAAATTCGAGTCAAAATAAACGCCCGTGAAAAATATTTCTTTACACTTCTGTGCTTCAGTAGATGTTCATACAATCCTCTTTTTTTATATGTATACGAGTATTTAGTAATAATCTTTTATTATTTTATATTTTGCTATCTATGTAACATTAAACCTTATTATTACAAGTGTATAGAGGGCAGAGTTAGCAATATATATTTAAAACATTAAGTATCTATAATTTATTCCAGAAAAGTAATCTTTACAACTAATACTTTGTGTTTCAACAATCACATACCAACAGCATAAATTCGGTATTTCCGTATTAAGATATTAGAAAAATTATCGAAACATACAATTCACGTTTAAAGCTATCCTCATGCAATCAAGCTTCATTTTTTTTTTACTTCTTCCAGATATCATAAGGACAGTATTAAAACTGATATGCATTTATGGCTGATGTGCCCTCAAGGTTTTAACTTTGAAATGTTACTTTTTATTTGTTAGATAATGCTAATACGGCTGTTTATATGTATCTATGTATTTTAGCAAAAATTAGATTTGCCAAGAAATTTTCGTTTACTGTTGTACTTGTAAGTGTTCATTGTGGTTGTATTTTTACAATAAAATGTAATGCAAGAGGACCAGTAGTGCTTGTAATATCACCGGCATTTAAATTATTATTTTTTCGAAATATTTTAACAGTTAAAAGTTTAATTAAGGAATCCTCCAGTTTGAGCGCCATCCAACGGTCATTAGAAGGTACGCTTGTTCGATAAAAGCTGTTTATAGGAACTATACAGATTACTAATTTTTACCCCGTTTTTGTTCCTAGCTCAGTATCTCAGAAAGCTACTTTTTGAGTATTTCTGACATTAAGGACTTTAGTTGTGTAGCGTTCATTATAACGAACTGCTTAGATCGAAAATTACTAACTAATTGAGTGTCGTGATGGAAGAAAAGTTGCACCTAGTATATTTTGATTGCACCTAACTTTTTTTACTTTGTATAATGCATAACCTAAAATGTACGATAAACACTCGGCGTTAAAATGAAAACTCAATGTTTTAATCAACTCAACAATTGATTAACATGCAATTAAAATTTCAGTTAAATCTAAATGAGCTATTTTCTTTACATACTATATTCAAAAGAATTTGTACACTTTTCACAAAGTGTGAAATCTAGTTATTGCCTGATTCGTATACGTTATCAACGGGAAAGTCTTACTAAGAGTGAGAAAACGACTACTACTTTCAAGTGTACAACCGTTGCGAATCAATCAGCCAATCATTGCATGCTTTTCTATCAAACTTCCTATACAATTAGGGAATAAAGAAATCGAAATAGGTAATAGTAAGAGAGTAAAGAGACCCCGTTTTTACAGATATAGAGCATTTACGTGAAAACTCTGAAAAATTTTCTCAGCAAACTTCCAAGGAAGGTTCTGGTACTCTCCTTTTCTAGGAATATTTAAACGTAATCTAAAAAGAGAGAGAGATAGGGAAATTATAAGTATAGGTTTCAGTATTATCAAATTTACTGCTTGAAACAAAACTTTACACCCGAAATTATTATTGTATTTAATGATTGTAGTTTTGACAATGAAATATACCTATACGTGATATAAATTTATAAGATTGGATATTTTTTTAAAATTAATTAAGTACTTAACAAATTGTTTCTGTTAATCAGTCAAAAACTGGCATTTGAAACATTAGAACAGAATCAGAAAACAAGTGTTTTTATATGAAAATACATTTATCTGACTGAACAGTATTATCACAAGAATAAATAAGACATAATCTTCATACTAAAAATAAATGACATTAAAACAAAAAAGAAAAGACATTTTTCTTTAATTTGACATTCAACATTTCCCTTTACAGCGCCCCCTAGTAGCACAGCGGTATGTCTGCGGACTTACAACGCTAGAATTCGGGTTTCGATTCCCGTGGTGGGCAGAGCACAGATAGCCCATTGTGTAGCTTTGTGCTTAATTACAGACAAACAAACCCTTTACAGCTTCTTCAGGAGCGTTCTACTAATACCATAATTGACAGTACAAAGCTTTTTTTTTGAAGCTTTGTACTGTCAGTTACAGTTTGTGTAACTGAAACGTTGATTGTTGAATTAAAGAAGAGTAACAAATTTGGTGTTGTAAAGTTGTTTATTTCTAGTATAAAAATGTATTTTATACACCAATACGCACTATAGAAGATAAATAAAGATTTAATTTTAGTACTGTAATGAAAAATCCTATCGCTTTCCAGTGCTAATATAACGATTGGCAATATTAAAGCGATCACTGAGGTACCAAAGAAGGAACCTTACCTGAATGTGTTAATTGTCCGCTCCATCAAGTGGATCTTTCAGAGAATGCCATTGGGCGATGGGTCGACGAGGGGACGCTAACATATCCATCCAGTGCCGTAATTCTGTCCCTGTGGCGTTACATCCAAGCAACACCTTTCCGATAGGTTCGGATGTTCCGATTCGATCGTAATCCACCACGGTAACGACCAAATTTACCTTCTACAGATGACAGTATAAACACAAGATTTATAATACACAGTAAGAATGCTAGGTATTATAATGTTAACTGAAAAATAATGCTTATAGAGATAAAAACAACAACAAAAGCATACAGTAAAGACTTTATCTTGTCGTTTTAAATTGCCCCCCCCCCCAGTGGCACAGCGGTATGTTTGCGGACTTACAACGCTAGAAACCGGGTTTCGATACCCGTGGTGGACAGAGCACAGATAGCCCTTGTGTAGCTTTGTGCATAATTAAAAAACAACAACAATTGTTTTAAATTAATCGTATCATTAGTCATTATTTTAATATTTTGTTGAGACCTAGAAGAAGCCATAGATAAAATCGTTAATATCTTCTTCATTCATTCCTAGCAATTGATGAGGAAAGTATATAAAAAAAAGTTTAATTAACAGTAATATTCAAAAAAGCTGCTTTAACATTAGCGTTTTTCTACTCAGTATTATTAGATGGAAAACGGAAAACATTCCTTACAAAATGTTTACAACATTTTTTCTTTAGATCACGCTTTTAGTTCATGAATTTTTTTATAGACATTTCTAAAAGGCAATGTCAAGTTTATATACAATCGTAACATTTCTAAATATGTTCAATTCTATGTTAGCGTCTGATAAATAATATTTCGATTTATAAGTTGACATTATCTTAATTCATTTTTGGAAACTGATGAAGAATATTAAATAATAAATCCAAAAGTGGACGACATAAATAATTTTCAAGATTTTTCTCTGTAGTTTTTTTTGATATACTTTAGATGTCATTGAAATACACTGCCTTGTCGGGACATAAGATACCTTATTATTGATTTGTTTTTGACTTTCCCACAATTTGAGAAGCAAACAAGAAACAAAATGTGCCCAGTTTGATTAATGTACGATTATAAACAGCGGAAACAAATTTCTTGTGTCTCAGTTTTCATTAGGGTGGGGGAGATTGAAGATATTTCTGACTTAGAGAGATACATTATTATTATTAGCTGTATTCTTGATAGCCAAAACAATGGAAATGACAGATAAATCGATTTGACTATTGTACCAGTATTAATGGAGGAAGTAAGTTTTTGTGCCTCAGTTTTTATTAAGATGGAGGAGGTTAAAGATGTTCATGAGTTGGAAAGAGGCACTATTATTAGTTGGATATTTGATAGCAAAAACAATGGAAGTGACTGGGAAAGCGATCATTTCACGAGTCTGTACAGCGTAGTATAAATCTCAGCTAAAATATACAAGTTGTAGAAAGTGTGTACTGAAGAAACTGCTGAAGATAGGGATAAACGGCGATTAGCAAGAGATGTGAAATATAATAAGTGTTCAACAGTACAGCAACTGACAGAAGACATCAACTATGGACCAGAAAATCCATTTCAAGAGAAGCAATGAGCAGGGATCATGAAGATTGGACTAATGTTCGTTGGATATGTGTCATATGGATGCATCGCGATACACGCTACTATTTTGTACAAATTGGAGAATCATAATTTGTGAAGCTACTAAACTCTGATGTGTTGTTTCCACTGCGCACGCTGCTGGGGTGGGGTGAATTTTTGTAGCACGGGCCGGGACCTTGATATCTCCGAATGGTCGCATTATGTTTCGAAAATATCACCTTCGTGGAGAATCAAATGTACCCTCTTATGCTCTCTTTTTATCCTCAAAGTGATGGGTATCTTCAAGGCCACTATTGTTTGTAGTAGATTTGAAGAGCACGAGGAGGAGACTCATCATCTTTCATGGCTACCATAATACCCAGGATTTAACTCAGTTGAGAAACTGTGAGATTTATTGGTGCGTGCTTTCAGAGCATATAGAAAAAAATTGCTTGAGGATGTTTGTTTGTTTGTTTATAATTAAGCACAAAGCTACACAATGGGCTCTCTGTGCTCTGTCCACCACGGGTATCGAAACTCGGATTCTAGCGTTGTGAGTCCGCAGACATAACGCTGTGCCACTGGGGGGGGGGGCTGCTTGAGGAATGCGAGAGAATTAAACTAAATATAGTCCAGAAATGAGCGAAATCTATGCCATGACGGATTCAGGCAGTGATTGAAGCAAACAGTGATAAAAACAGTATATAATAGCTTGACTAGGCAGTGTATACACATAATATGTACAAATAATTCTATAAAATACTGTAAGGTGGTTCTTTGCTTTAAGTTTAACGTGCATTATACAGTTTTATTATTTTCTCAGAAATTCTTCCTCACACAGAATCAAACGTTGGATTGATGAAAAATTCCTGAGTAAATGTGCTATTATTGGAACTTCTTTAATAAAGACTAACCAACTTCGTTACTCACCATTTTCACACGACTTTTAAATATAGAGGATGTTATGTCATTAAGTTGAAAGTTATGGAAGTGGCAATTTTATTACAATTACAATATTTTAGTAAATAATATATTGATATTAATCTAAATTTACCATGTATTTTTGTGTGCGTTAAGCAGTCATATTTCCTTTAAATTATATGATCTAAATAAAACCCTTTGCCTATAAAGATAACTCCATATAAGTTGCCAGGATGCATTCAGTCTGATCTCACGATATTTGAAGTCTTAAGAGAGCCACAAGAAAGTCCCAAAATCTTATCATCTTATAAATTATCTGCTAATTTCATTGAGTTGTTTTCTGCCACAAGACGATTATTTTGTTATACCTTCCAAGTAAACACAAATGAAATTAAAACACGAAACACTTACCTGTATCTGTTCGAAAGGAATTTCGAAACTAAAGGATTCGTTAAAATAGGGATTAAGTGTACACTTCTTGATGCTAGTCTTTTTCTTTTTGATTCTTTTGCCGTTCATCATGATTGCGATCTTAACGTATGGATCTGAAATACGAAAAAGAAATGTGGTACAGATAACTGGCTGATGGACAGGGGCAACTCAAAAAGTCAGTTGTTTCCATATATATATATATACTACGTGACTTTAACTATTTCAAATGTTAAATACCATTCAAGGAAGAGTACCATAACGAGGAAGAAACTACATCGTCATTGTTAGAAATAGAGATGAACAAACTACTCATTCAATAAATCAAAATATTGCAGAAAGCAAATTGCTTCAACGTTTTTTTGATGGTCAGATTTTAAATTATGTTCTTTATTTCAAGAGGAAATAAAAATGTAATGTTTAACGGTTTTCTTTTTCTGACAAGTTACAAGTTAATGTGGCTCTAATATGGTCTTATTTGCCTAATCATCTTAAATTTAGTTTTTACATACTTTCTATACATAGTATTGAAAAATAAACAAACAGGAAAACAAAAAGAAAGCCAAACTCTTGGGCTACTCTTGCCTATTTGAATAGTTAGGATTTGTGTAGCGTGTTTGCACCAACGGGAGACAGTTTGGGATCACTAACCACTGAGTCACGCTCAGTCCAATAAATTGTTTGTTGTTATCAAAAGACAAATAATTAACACATTATTGAAATTAATATAATTTTACAAATATTATTCATTGACGAGTTTACTTAAAATTCTTCTTGCGCCATTATGGAAATGGATTAATGAAGTAATAACCTGTGAAATGATTTTTTAAACTATCAAAGAAAGATAATAGAAAACCAATCGAGATTTCCGTAGAGTTGTTAATGTAATACAGTATTTTAATTTTTATTAAAAAATTTGTTGATTACCTGATAATCCACCAACGTCCATCTTCTTCAGGTTCTTAGCTTCTAGAATAACAACTGTCAATTTTCCAGCTGTTGGAACGTAGCGTAGTGAAAAACATATGTCCCCTAACTTGTTATCCTACACGAAATGAAACAACAAGAAGAGCTGAAACAACCACACTTTAAAACCACACTTGTATAGCATGCTTATGCTTTTGTAGCCTCCTGTCATGAAAGCTAAATCAACAATATAGGATACGGCTAGGAGGAATGATTACAAGATCCTTTATAGGTGTATGTCAATTATTTTCCGTTTATCCGTGAAGATACAACCAGTTCTTTTGTTGTTTTTTTGAGCGAGCTAAATTATTACTTTATCTTCTTTTTTTAACTTGCGAGATTCACAGCAACACAGTGTGACACTGGGCTTTTCTATTACCAAAAATACCTAATTCCTAGGGATCTGATAAAGTACTCTAATTGAAATCCTTTCTATTACTACCGAGCATATGACAAAGAAGCTCCTTTTGAAAATACTCAAACAAATGTAACAGACATTCAGGTTTTCTGTCAAATTAGTATATCAGCACAATTCTAGCAAAGCTATCAAAACTAAAGAAAGAGTTACAGCTATATCGTAAAATACTCCTACGTTCTTTGAAAGTTGCGTCAAAATAAGAATCTACGGGAATTTTCCAATAAAGCAGTAGCAAGACGCTTATTACAATTTCTGAGTATTCTAAGTTTCACCAAGGACTGTAGTGTGTGTGTGTCTAGTTTGTCCAGATCTAAAACAAACAGTGCGAAAATAACCCAAAACCTCTGTAATGTGGACCAAAATACCAATTTTATCATGATACTGAGTAAATAAAAAACAAGTTTGTTAATATTTTTTACACAAGAAGAACGTTCTTCTCCATATCAAAATTATTCTGGTTTGTGAGTGACCAAAGTTCACAATCCAAGTTCTGGGTTAACTCATTGAAAAAAGAGAATACTAAAGATTGGTTCTCAGAGTACTGTTGTGATGGACAGTGGCTCCAAAGGACGTGCTCTTTTTATTCATAGTACACTATAGATTTTTTCATTTGTTTGTTTTTAGCGCAAAGCCTACAGTGAACTATATGTGCTCTGTCAAACGCAGGGATCGAATCTAGAATTATTGCGCTATAAGGCCTGAAGCTTAACGCTGAGCCACAAGGGGATAGCAAAGGATTTTAGGATTCAAAATCAACACATAAGTGTTGGCCAACCTAAAAGATAAAAAAGGCTCATCTGGTCGAAGGTCACGGTTAGTCAGTTGAAGTTCTTATGTATAAGCATGCTTTGCGGTTGTATGTATAAAACTGAAAGTAAGCAAAATCATTGGAAGAACTTGTCATTGCAACATTTATTTACAACTAATTTATTTATTTGCAAAGTGCTTTAAAATAAGTAAGTAAACATATTGACTCAAATATATATATGTAATCTATACTCTAAAGCGACTTGTGTTTGTCTGTCAGAGCGCGGCCCAGTGGCTTAGCTCACCCGACTGTGGATCTGAGGTTTCGTGTCCCAATACCTTCCTCAATAAAAACAAATCGTTATTTGTAATTTGGGGCCGTGGGTGCGTTATAAACGAGACGGTTAATACCCACTATTCGATCTGACAAGAGTAGCCCAAGAGTTGGCTGTGGGTGGTGTTGACTATCTGCTTTCTCTCTAGTCTATCATTGCAAAATCAGGGACGGGTAGTGCAGATAGCCTCGTGCAGCTTTGCATGAAATTCTACACACAAACAAACTATTCGTTACCAAAATTTTCAAACTTTTGATCACCATGAAATGTTCAAGTGTTCTTGGATATGCATGCGTTAGACTGATCCTAAAATCGGTCACTTATTCGTTTTCCAATTGTTATAAGTTTGACAGACATTTCAATCCACCTATCTCCTCCTTGCTCAGTGACATAACTACAAAAGATGTTCCCCCCCATTAAAAAGCAATTGTGCCCTTACATTTATTTTCCTATAATTGTAGTTACGATTCTGGCTGATTCGGGCCCCCTTCTGTCTCCCCCCGCAATTGCGGAGGCTACGGGGGAATACTTACACCACTACTCTTGTTACTACTCTAATGCTTACAGTGGCTATGAGAATCGGGCGTGGCCTAGTAGGAAGCATGTCAGACTGAGAATCCGAGGGTTCATGGATCATGTCCTACTGATGCAAAAAACAACTTGTGCATTTTATTCTATGTTTATTCTATACTTATGAGTGGTCATTTCAATTTCCCCTTAGCCAATTATTAACAAGCGTCAATCATAGAAAAACTCCGCTTAGCGCCACCCAGCTTCAAGCTGATTCGTAATAGAGCTCCTGTCTCCTTGAGAGAATATTTTTTTCACGAGAGAGAGAGAAAAAAATTATGAAAATCCATAACTCTATGAACTCTACAATGCATTTACCCACATGTCATTTGACTAATCCACATTTCATGATACTGCTGAAGATTGGATATTTTGTGGCAATGATATAAAGGAACAACACCATTGGTTGCCTGGTATAAAGACCAACTTTTACGAAACCCGTTCCTTATTACTTGTCGTCCAGTTACTTTGGTTGGGAAATGAGGCCCTCTAGTTGCTTTGAGCCCATGTTGTCAAATAGAGGTAGTCTTGTAGGGTAGTCGACATTTGGTATTGATGGTCTGAAAGAGAGTCTACATTCTGCTAACCACGCTTTTTGAGATTTTTTTAACCACTCTGCGACGATTTATTGGGCATGGTCAGCTTCTTGTCAACCTATTGCCTCAACATCATGGAAATGTCAGAATTTTTTTTTTTAGAATCAATCTGAATCTCTCTATACACTTCGCTGTTGCTGAAGTTGCTAACTCTGAGCATACTGTGTTTATTCAAATTTTCACAGCTAAAATATGCATGACAGACCATCTGACACTTGGTTTGGATACAAATGAACTTAGAGATTCTACTGAACATTATTTAAATACAATATTTGTGTTTTTTCATATCTTGAGGGTAGAAACCTCTAATTACCCTTTATTATCCGGACCAATTTATTTTATGATGATAGAAGTATAAATTATTTCTACAGTATCACGTGTTATTTCTAGTTAGTGAGTTATGTAATATTATTCACAATGACAATTCTCTCGTCCTCCAGTGGGTCAGCGATAAGTTCTAGATTTACAACGCTAAAATCCGGGGTTTGATTCTCCGTGGTGGACAGAGTACAGATAACCCATTGCGTAGCTTTGCACTGGAAAAACGAAAACAACAATCCTCTCAGATATATTAGTAGCGACGTTTGTTGATAACCAAAATTGTTAACGAGAATTGCTTATCATACAAAAAAAAGAATGCGAGCAGAGGTTTTGACTCTCGTTCAAAATAATATTAATGATAATTAAACAATAGAAGCAAACATAAATAATATAAAAATTGTTTTTATACATTACCACTTCATAATAGAAATAAAGGAATGTCAAAGTAAATGATTTTGATAAGTTTCTCGTGTTAAGATTAATCAAACACGTGTCAATGGCGTCTTAGAGCAAGTAAAAAAATTGCAAAAATAAAGACAGAGTAAAAAAATTAATATACTTACGAACAAGTTGGCATCTTCACGGAAACCGCTCGTGAGGATAAAGCTCAGTTGCAAGTGTAACACAAGGTAAAACACGAAAATATTGTGCAAATAAATAAATTTCGTACTGAAAAATCAAATATATCTTTACAATTACTTGAAAACATAATATTCAAATAACACCAAACACAGAATCACAGCTATAAGTGAAAACGTGCAAAAGTAAATAAAATACATGCAGCATTTTAAAGCAATACACGATAAATAACAACTCAAAAAGATTTGACGTGCAAAATAGGTAGGGTAAACAAATTATGCGTTTTTCTAACCAACAAATAACAGCCATGGTTTAAGTCACGAAGGAACAGCATATTAATACTATATAACATAATTACTGTAAGAGCTGCTCATAAAATAAGGACGAGTTGTTTCTATACGCCATTAAAATTTTCATCTACAAATTAATTCAGTCACTAAACTAATAATACTACTGGCTATCCTACGATCTATGTCATCAGGCAACTTACGCCTCAGAAGAATCATTAACAATCTCCTAGGAAATCTTCCTGATGTACATTGAGAACTTTAATATAAAAAAGAAAGATGAGATTAAACAAAATAATGTGCTAGACACTAAACATTAAAATTCATATAAAGATGAATTTCTCAGTTCAACAAGAAATAATTCGATTCGTTTACTCACAAGGGGTTGTAAGCATCAGGATAGTTCTGATAATAATACATAATTTTTTATTGAGCTATATGTGATTTATGTAATGAATCATAACATTATTTTTTTCACAAATTATGTTCAATAAATGAGGTATGTAAACCTTAACTTTGTAAGATTTTATGAAGAAAACAAGATCGTTTAATTGGATTTCGCTAGGATCGGAATCCACTCGAGTTTTGAGACGGATGACGTTTTGGATTCTGCGCAGATACCCAAATGTTTTTCATTTGGGACTTCCAGTAAGAAGCTATTCAACTGCGAGCTCAATCAAGTTCTTTGTGAAATAATTAAGAAAACTGTAATTACTCTGATTTGTCGTGGTTGAACATAAACTTTTCTGCAGTATGGTTTGGAAGGTATACCCTTCTCAACATCTCCAATTCTAAGGTATAAAATACTCACTCGTGGACTTTCTTCCTATTTTATGAACGAGCTTATGTACAATTATATTGCTTAAAATCCTTTTAGAATTATTTATTTTAATTTTGAAATGTGGTAAATTACTGTGTTTACATTTAAGGGTTTTTACTTCTCTGTATAATACTTTGACCTAGCACAGTTATGTACTAAGATAGGATGAAGGCAACTACTATATAAATTACTGTGTTTACATTTAAGGGTTTTTACTTCTCTGTATAATACTTTGACCTAGCACAGTTATGTACTAAGATAGGATGAAGGCAACTACTATATAAAGTTTTTATTTGTACTCACTTCTACTTATAAGACACTGTTGATAGATTTTTTTCAAATCACTAATTCAGAGTTTCGAGTAGAAAGATTAAAAAAATTATTAAATGTTCTACAGATTCTCAGCTTCGAAATATAACGAATAGTTACTCTTTTGTTTTCAGGGGTTTCCACCCACTGGAATAGATCCCCAATTTATAACAAACGAAGAGCACGAGTCTTCCATCATATAAAGTTTAACCACAGTTTTACTTATAAGATACAGTTCGTATATATTTTACTCACTAAAAAATCTCTAATCTCTGAAATATATTGATTAGTTACTCTTTTATTTTCAAGGGTTCCTACTCCAGTGAGTCCCCAATTTAAAACAGCTAAGGAGCATGGGTCCTCCATCATATAAAGCATAACTACGCTAGGCTATTCCACAATGGAGATACTGCACCGGATCTAGGAAATCTCTGCCGAGAATAATCATATTTTGGAATGAATCTCTACCAAGCTATAAAATTTTACGTGACTTGGGAACAAACTATTTCGGCCTTTCTCAATAAAACGGCACAACTATATTCATATTCTTTGGTCTGACATTTTGCACGGGCTATGAAGAACAAAGAGCTCTTCTCTTTTCAGAAAATTATGAGATCAAACAGGTATTCACGTGCTTCTACGGATATCTTGAAAAATTATTACTTCAAAGAGCACTTCATAACAGAAAATAGCACTCAATCATAACATATATCGAAAAGGTACGTTATACCTTTGTGTGTGCGTGTGGGGAGGTGGGGGGGCTTTACCGTATTGGTGACGTACTCTTTTGACTTAAAATAACTATATGAGTCATTTCAAGCTCGTAGCCAACAATCACAGTAATTTTTACATCTGAAGTTTCATTTTCAATATATATATATCACCTAAAATAGCTTTGTTGAAGAAGATTCGACAGATAGTCAAAGCCCTGACCTATATAATATTTTTTTTGTGTTTTAGGTATCAGTGCTACAAAAAAATAAACTTTCCGATTAATAAACATAGAATACATCCATTGATAACAAAAACATTATTAAAATTATCGGGATCTTACACTGGAGTAGAGAAAAATGAGCCCTTCTACATACTTTGAAGAGAATACAAGTTAGTAATCTCATGAATATATATATATATATGTGCACATATGTCATTTTTAAAAGTTGTTTTCATAAAGGACAGTTTCTGTTTTACGATTGCGAGAAAAAAAGATTAAGTACTCACAGTTCTTAAATGAGACCAAAAATGGCACGTATATTGAACGCAATTTTATGAGATTACCGGTACACGTGGTAATCTTATCTAAGTTCCAATCTAGAGCTTTGGAAACTAACGTTAAAATATGAATGTTTATTTCACCACTGAAGGACAATATCGCGAAATGAGTTGTGGTACATAACCACTGAAGGACAATATCGCGAAATGAGTTGCGGTACATAACCACTGAAGGCCAATATCGCGAAATGAGTTGTGGTACATAACCACTGAAAGCCAATATCGCGAAATGAGTTGTGGTACATAACCACTAAAGGCCAATATCGCGAAATGAGTTGTGATACATAACCACTAAAGGCCAATATCACGAAATGAGTTGTGGTACATAGAATTATGGTTTGGTCAAACTTTTATACAGACAGAAAAGGTTGCAAACCACTGGGCTAGAGGATCAAAATGATGTGTTTCACTTGGTACGCGACGGGTTCAAATTTCCCCAGCATTCAGCTTTCATAGACTCAGATTTTTTTAAAGATAAATGTTATAAAGAGTCCGATGTAACGAAATTAAAATTAGATAATTTACTAGAATTAGTGTCCATTTTTATTTTTAGTATCTTGGATATCGAGGATTCTGCCTGAATAAATACACAAATCAATATTGGTGAGTACTAATATGAAATGCCCAAGTTTTGAATCCTTTACAAGTATAACAAATGCCACGTTATAGAAGGATTATCCAGTGCAACTGTTAACATGATCTCTGAGTTCTATAAGTAAGTTATCTAACTCAAGTACCATAAGAACGTAATTGATCTGTTGGCTGAAGTTATTAATACAAACGATAACATTAACTAACAAACCTCAGAAGCTATTTTTTACTGACGCACATTTCTTTCCTGGTAACAAGGATAGGTAAGCTCTCAAAACTTTGGGTCTGAAATTTTAATTATTACTTTTTAAAAGATATTCTTAATTTTTATTAATTTTAAAGATACAATCTCCAAGACATCCTTGCGAGTTTGTTCAATCATATTTATGGGAACTACTTTACCTGGCCTTGTTCTCCTTCGACGCTTGTTAGGTCACGCCATTCCTCAATAGTTTGCGCTAAATCCACAGTACTAAGAGGTACTTTGACTTCACCAATCTGGTCGTGTTTGGAAAATCGATCAAAGTCAAAAATTGCGAACACCAAAGTTTTGGCTGCGTATTCTGAGAAAGCAACCTATTAATAAAAACAAATACATTCATCAGCGATATCCAGGGGGGGGGGAGGTACAATACCCAAACAAGAAAAGACATTTGTTGGCCGTGACACATCTGTACTACACAGTTTAAACAGCGAGACGATCTATAAGTTATTTATATCAAATCGACTAATAAGAAATATATGTATATACATTGCTTTATACGGAATGCAAAGGCAATTACAAAAATTACTTAAGCTAAGTATAACTTAAAGAACAACCGTGACAGGTGCTTGCTCTGTTACGTGGCGTAATTTCAAGAAATGAAACAACAATAAAATAAAACATTATACATGTTTTTTATCGGGGGGGGGTAAATTCATCCCCTCGGGGATAATAATGGAAAGTGCAGTCTCAGGGATGAAAAAAAAAGCCGAGCCAGGGAAATCCCCCTATCCCTCCGTCAAATCGCACCCAGGCGATATCGCTCATGAATAAAAGAGCTTAGTAAATTATTTTTTACTTCATTGTGTGTTTTATTAACAAATTACTCCGTACTACGAACTTCAAGTTATGTAGTACACAAAAGTAAGTCACCTTAAAGTTGAAGGTTTCGTTGAAAACTGGGTTGAGCGTCTTCCTATGAACCTTGGTTTCGTACTTCTTCTTCTTTTCTGGTAGCAAGTACACTTTGACATAGGGATCAGAAGTACCTGACATATCCATGCCTGGAAGATCCTCGGCTTGTATCACCGTCACCGCCAACTGATAAGATAGGATAAAGACAACGGTTACTATTACTAGAACTACAAACTAATGGAGGAGCCCTAAAGTTAGTTGTATATCATACATGTTAAGCAAAACGTTTGACGTTAATGAACGAGTACAGTCGAATTTTCAAAACTTAGTTATCCACAGCATTTTGTTTGTAATTTAAGTGGACAAAAGAAAGAATGTATTAATGACGTAAGAGTTTAATCTGTTTTTGATTCGCTACTCCCTTCGCAGTAAACTATAATTTCGCTGAAACACCTAATCTATTTTAAGTTATTAGTTGTGAGTAAAGGACCTTACATCAAATTAGATAAATTACTTAGTTACCCTGGACAAGGGCAAACGAAAGAATAAAACAAAATATGCCTGAATATCCGGTGTATTCTTTACTAGGGGTAAGTAAAGGATATTTCAACCTAATGCACAGTATCTAGTTGTAATCAGCCTTTCAAACAATATTTACGTATCACGCTTTCTGGTTTCCTGATTTGGATGCTGTTTTTTCATGCGTTAACATTTTTGAAGTTTCATTATTCATTATTTCAGTCAGTTTTTCATAATGGTTCCTATAGGCAGTTTACTGATTGTAAGTTGTATTCGGTCGTATTCCCTGGAGGTAAAAATTAGTGTTAGCTCTTCTAGCTTTTTTGTAGTGTTTTGACGTTTCCTTTTCTATTACTTGTGACAAGAGTGATACATACGCTGCAGCAACAATGCAGGAGAAGATTAATGCTAATATCACACCTAATATTTTAAGCTTTGCAAAAACGCGGTCAAGGTATACTTTTAGAATGCACCTACGAACTGGCATAAACATACAAGTTAATGTGGATATTAAGATATAAATATTCTTTTCTCAAATTTTGATCAAAAGCTTGCATATCAAATAATGATAAAAAACGTGGAAGAAATATTATAAACAGATGTGTTTTTATCTTCTACATTATATAGCTATATCAGCATCTGAAACATACAAGTTAATATTGTACAGGATTCAACTACAAGTTTCTTTTGTGGTAAAATACTTGTTCTGTTTTGAAATTGTCTTCAGTGTGTGTGAAGTTTATGTTTTGTTTTGGCGCGAAGTTTCACGAGAACGAGCGTGACCTTGGTTTAGCTTGCTTAGACTGTGAATCCCAGGCAGGATTCATGATTCGTGCGCCGTTGCCGCAAAAACGTGCTCCGTACTTTGGGACAGGGGTGCTGCATAACAGTGACGGTCAAATCCCACTATTCGGTCAGATAAAAGTAGTGCAAGAGTTGGCCAGGCTATTGTTGATTAGCTGCTTTCCCTCTGGTCTATCAGTTCGAACAGTGACGGTCAAATCCCACTATTCGGTCAGATAAAAGTAGTGCAAGAGTTGGCCAGGCTATTGTTGATTAGCTGCTTTCCCTCTGGTCTATCAGTTCGAAACTAGAAACAGCTAGTTGTTTAGCTTTGAGGGCAATTTCTGAAGTAAACAAGCAAACACTGTACGATGGGCTGTCTACGTTGTGGGAATCGGGGAAATGCTTCCCAGTTTTCCAGCATTGCACTTAAGGGCTCATATTACGTTATCATGGAAGAGAATATATATATATATATATATATAAGCTGACGTTTGTTATATAACAAA